AGTGGGCTCTTCATGACTTCCACCTCTATGACATTTCTATAACTGAAGGTAATATATATACTTAATTGTACTATACAATTACATTATGTGAGTGGAATACACATAATACTGCCCCTTCAAATCCCAAGTGGCGGAGCAAGAGACAAATTCACAAAGTAAAAAAGCATCAACAATTTTTAAAATAGAAAAAAAATGTGCTGAAAATAAGTAGAAGATACAGTATATAGATCTAATATCATTAGACAAAACAAAAAGGAGAACTTGCACAATCATTTGGAGCAGCACAAAAATAATATCCAGAAACCATGGGAAGTGCTCTACAGTTTAATTTAAAAACAAGCAGCAATAGGAACTTTTTCCAGTTCTTCTGATGATGCTTATGTAAAGCAAAGTGAAGATATGATCTTTTACCTACACTTTGTGTAGGTAAAATCTAGGATTTTTGCATTATTACTCTGCAGAACTGCACTATTGAATAAATAATTAAAATACCAAAATGGGTATTTATGCTTGTGAAATATGATAATTGAAAACTTTAATCACATTTCCAACAAAGACATTTCAAGAGCAGAGTCTTAGAATGCTTAGCTGCTGAAATGTGACTGATTTGTCTGAACGTTTCCTTGTCCTCCAGTGTCCACTGAATCGAACAGCCACCCCGGAACAAGAAGAAGAAGAAGACTGCAACTGTGCCCTCGGCCCACCAGGGCAGCGTGGCCCACCAGGACGGATGGTAATACACAAACAAATACAGAGGCGCTTGATGAATGACCCCACATTTACCCTTCTGATGAAATCAAATGTGTGTGTGCGTGTGTAGGCTGTACAAACAAAGAGATCAGGCTCTGACAGTGCTGTTTCTTTTTCCACTTTTTTGATTAAACAATTATTGTCTGCCCACATCATATAGCATATATGGTGGATGCTAATTTCCTGTTGTGTGCTGTATGAAAACGGGCAGGAAAAAAAAACTAAACAAAACAAAAATCCCACAGCACATGAAAACCAGGAAACGGGGAAATGTAAATGACTGTTGATGTGGTTTTAGCACATCATGCAACAAAAATAAAACTAAACATATCAAGGCGTTCTTCTGCTTTCCACTAATGATCTGTGATGAGGTTCGGTTGTAATAAGTCTCTTCTGATGACTCTTTATTCATTCGGTGAAAATGAGAGCGGCCCAACCAGATGCACTACCAAGGCACTTATTTGTGCCTTTTTAAACTTACACCAAGAAACAGGCGGCTGAGTTTTCTCAGTTTTTATTTTCACTGTTTAATACATATATCAAAAAATAACGACATGCTATGAAAGCCCATATGTTTTCAATGTGGCAATTGAAGTTATTGGAACAACTATATTCAACTATATTGGTAAAGAAATATGTATTTTCCAACACAGGGTTTCTTTACTGAACACACAATGTTGCTTTGATTGCTTTAGCATAAAAACACCAATAAAGAAAATCATGTAATAGTAATTATGCAGAAGAATATTTACCCCAAGCTTAATGTAAATGGATTCACATAAAATGTTGTTAGTCTAACATACAACAACAGTGAATAATTGACTGACAGGCAAATGGTAGGTTCCTAAAGGCAAGCTCATGGCGTAGCTGACAAAATAAAGCTGTGGTCGATGAGTATTTCTGCCAATCACATGATATTTTTTAATGCTACAGGGTTTCAGAGGTGAAAAAGGGAGGGAAGGACCACCGGGACCTGATGGTAAGCCTGTAAGTGCCGATCACTTTCATCACAATTATTTTCCTCAGGTTGCTCCCTCCATTCTGTAGGACACATACTGAATAAATGTGATGAAAATTATATCAACTTGTTTTTGTCCTCAGGGTAAAGAAGGTAAACCTGGTGAAGCCGGCCCTCCTGGATTTCCAGGGATAAAAGTAATGCTATTCTACTTTATATTTATGAGTTTTGATTGTGGTTAGAGGAGATTCCTTGCAAACCTATGGACATAGCATTTTCAGCCTGTATCTAAATTTGTTATAAGTCATAGCTAATAAAATAATCAAAAATGAATGTCAGCAATAAAGTATATTGTCCTGTTCAGTGTACGTTGACATAAACTGTTGACTTTAATTACAAAAATTAGTACACGTTCAGTGACATTCCAAATTCTCTGCCTTTATAGGACTGATGCTGAAGAAAACTTTGGTGGTTGCTTCCATGTTAATAAAATCGTCAGCATCACCAATATTGTAAATTACTGAACAGGCTACAGTAATTATCCAAAATTGTTCCCACGTTAGCAAAACAATAACATAAACTTTCAGTTTTTAAAAAGTTGTTCATATAAGTTTTAAACCACTGCTTGTTGTCCTGCATCAGCTAGCTAAGGTGTTATGCTAGAGCTAGCTTGTTGCCAGTGTATCCTAGAAAAAAACCTGTTTTTAAGTTTAGTTTAGCCAGGTTAAGATTAATGAATTTATGTTCACAGCGCTGACAGATCCTGAACTAAATTAACAGCTCCAATATGAAGGTCTCATGTGTTTATTATGATTAGAAAAATAGCAGACATTATGCTAATTCACAAATTAGCATATTGATTGTTAATCCCTATTCTCTCTTTTTGTGTTTGCTTATGTGAGATATACTCTATATTGACTGAATTCTCAAAACAGCTGCTTTCTTTCCCAAATTGGAATGTTTTTATTATTAGAATATCAAAGAAAATGTGGAATGAAAACGCCCCATTTTGGCTGAGTTTGTAAACGCAGTTACTTCAACCCTCTTAGTACTGTTAAGTCTGTGCAGACATTTGGCATGAGTTTTATTTTCTTTTGCCCTTAAAACTGTTGTTGCACCATCAAAAACACATAGAAAAACATAATGACTGCCAAATACAGAGAGCCTAAATGTTCCTGGTAAAAGCAGCCAAAGTATATTTCTTAATTTGTCTACAGTCAAAAAGCTCTAAGGTGAAACAGGTGGCTTTTTATGATTTTTGAAATACTGTGCAAAAAAGGTAATTCTGTTGCCAATGTGTTTATCATTCAGTAGAATGATAAATCAACAGAATTACTTTTTTGTTGAATAGCTAATCATATTCTAATGAACCAAATCCTTTACTGCTGCTGTATTCTGACTTTTTAACCACATGTGTTGCCATGTAAATTTGATAAAAAATCCAAGTTAAAGCAAAAGCTGTTAACATTTTATGAATTCATTTTGCATATTTATACATATTTAGTAATCCAAACATCTTGATCAGGCAAACTGACTGTGGTGTCTTGGCTTATATTTGAAAATAGTTGTATTTGTCCCAAGGAAATAACATAGTGTGTATCCATCCATCTTTGGATACATATGTATGAGCATACAAACATACAGCACCACTAGTGTGGCACCCCTCTAACTGAAGTTTCTGAATAATTATCCGTCTGCTGGGCAGGGTGAAGAAGGCCCCCAAGGACTAAGAGGAGAGCCTGGTGTTAAAGGTATCAAGGCAAGTACATGACATTGTAGGTTTTTTTTTCTTGTTGTTGAATCTGTTGTGTAGTTCTGACAATGCTTTGTTTCACTTTGCGCCCAGGGAGACCGAGGGGAACCAGGTCTAACTGGAAAACCTGGACCAACAGGACCACAGGTGAGAGTGGAAGAGTCAGGAAAAGGTTCTATAGGAATGTCTTTCTGCTTTTGTAACATTCTTAAAGGAGGCTGAACTTCTCATGGCCTTGTCTTCATGTCTGCCTTTGATAGTTTTTGCCTTTCAAAAAGTTATTTAACATACCCCGGTATTGTAGTTACGTTTGTACTTTCTACCCTCATAACTGTATTACTTCAAATTTAAAGACTTATTTTCTGACCAAAGCAAAGAACGCCTCTGTTCACCACCAAAGACTTTGATAAGCTTCTCCAGAGAACTGAAGTGATAGAAGCAAAGATTCACTGACTTGAGGTTAATGTTGAGGTCAAGGCAGGATTTGGACATGAGACAACCTTACAGATGATTCAAAATAATGAAAGGACTGACAGACAATGACTCGGCACTATGACAACCCATCCTTTAGGTCTGAGGTAACCTTTACAGGATGAACCCTGCACTTAGACAAAACAGCGTGGCCACATCAGAGCCCAGATGTCCCCTCTTCGACCTCGGAACCGAGAACAAAACAAACAACAGGAGTTATCAATGTGGAATTCCACTGAAAAACAGGTTTGCTGAAATTCAGCAGGAGTTTACGAGGGAAACCTCAACTTCAAACATCAACAAGAGGTTGAGAATCCAGACAGGTTCCTCCTAAAGTGAACCAGAAACCAGAAAATAACAGAATCGTAGATGTAAAACAAAGAGGTTAAAATGCTCTGCCAACCCCATGATGTTATGCTTGATATGTTAGGAATAGTCCCATCAATTATTAATGATCACCCTGGAACTGAGGATTTAATCATACATGCTGGAGTGAATGATATTGCCAAACAAAACTATGAAATTCTGAAATCACCCGCTGAACACACTGGAAATCTCAAGATGTTCTGCGACCTCAGTCAACTCTGTTGGCAAACCCAGAATCTTCTGGTAGCGTCTTGATCTCTTCAAACCGGACGGATTCTGTCTGAGTAAATGTGGGTGGAAATTATTCACAACAAATGTCTTCGGTGTCATGAATCAGAAAAACTGCTCTGCCAAAAGCAAAACACACATCTAACACCAGCACCTGTTTACCTTTAGTGGATTGCTGCAGCGGTGTCTTCACAGGTCAATCAATCCTCCAAGTTCTGTTCAGAGTTGCCTTTGGTTAATAATAACTGGAGTATTCACTAGCATATTTGATGTCAATGATTTTGATGATGGCATTTGAGGACATATAATGATTGCTGCTTCTTCTTAAAGCTGCTGATTATTATGGAATATGTATATTATTAAAAGAGACAAAATTGACAGCATTTCAAAACTGTAAGACTTAGCTAATTGCAAGATACATTTCATACAGCTACTTCACCATAAAAGTCTGTTGGTTTCTGTATTTTTTTTTATTCCTTTTGTCCAGGGACTTCCTGGAGAGAGAGGTGAGGCAGGACCTGTAGGAGAAACTGGTCTTAAGGTGAGATTAAATAATTATTAAAAAATGGAAGCTGAACTGAACAAAATTGCATTTTCTGCAAAAAAGCAGCATTAACTGGTATGGCTAAGCTGATCTGACAAAGAAGCTGAACTGAAGCAGAAGCACTTTTAAGATACAAACTTACATAAATATTAAACTATTTTGATTAAATGTGTTTATGTAATGCAATAGAAAAACACTAGAGAGGCAAAACCCCCTGATGTTAAAGTCTAAATTACCAGGACTATATGGAGAGTTAAAATGAAAAAAAAAAAATAAAAATAAAAAATAAAACAAATACTTCATTAAATCAATAGTTGTAATAATTTCACGTGTCAAACTCGCCCATCAAAGTTCATGGGCGGGGCTTATACCAATATGTTGAGCTCCACTACCTTGTAATGGAGGACTTTCATGAACAACATAAAAGTCATTCAGACTCCATGATAAAGTCATGGGGAATCTTATAAAAATCTTACATAGTGTTGACAGATAATGTAAGATGCTCTGAAAAAAATCAGGCCAAGTGGAGTTCATCAGTGTTGTAGCCCCGCCCACAATCCCGCCCTCGACTTTAATGCCTGAAGTCGAGAGATAAAATTATTGTATGGTGATGCTGCAGAAACAAGAACCATAAAATAAGTAAATACATATTTAATTATTTATCTACATATGTTATTACATTTTTGTATTTTAATCATTTAATGGCACATTTAATAATTTATTTACCTATTATGTAAATGATTTAAACATTTGATTAAATATATTTATTTCATGGTACATTTAATTATTGATTTATTGATGTATTTTTTCAATTTTGTCTCTTTTAGCCCTCCATATCTCTAGCCTAGTTTCACAGAGCTGGACGTATCTAACAGCGTTTTTGTCTCCAACCAGGGGGAACCAGGACCACCAGGTATGGATGGAGCAGCAGGGCTAACAGGACAGAAGGTCAGTACAGAAAAGTTTGTCTAGATTGGACACAATATAGAGTGTACCATATTTATTCTAGTGACTTGAATTATTTTGGCTTGCAATTCTTTTCACAAGACAACTCAGTTTTAGTCAGACAATTATATAACATATGTCCTCTATTAAAACAATTAATTCAGAAGAAGTGTGAGATGCGCATATAAAAACATAACAGATATGTGAATGTATAGACACGCTGCATGTTATAGTTTACAATTTTGTGCATGCAAAGAACATTGGAGGGCAAAAGAGGATTCTTTCACTTGCCATCCATTAAAAAATATGGATGGCATATGGTAGAACAATTCCAATAACAAAACGAACCTGGGACTGTATGGATTATTAATTTAGTGGAGCGCCCCGCAGCAGGAAAAAAAAAAAAAATAAATAAAATAAAGAAAATGCAGAAAAACCATTGAAGAACAACTCAAAACCAGTCGTGTTCTTTTTTTTTGTTTTTTTTTTGCTCTCTGTGTTGACTATGCTACACACAAAAACATAAATTGCAACTTATTGCTGTAGGAACTTATTGCTATTGCAATACGTTGCAACAGCAGCTCCACAGCTCCACTAGTGTATCAAGATTCAACACCAAAAGCGCATAAACCTTTCCCACACAAAGACCAGAACATTCAGTCTGTTACAGTTTTATGTTTCCAGTTTTATGTTTCCAGGCATAATGTTTATTTTGTAATTATTAATAAGTGATTGAACACAGCAGTGGTTGATTAGCTAACATATCTCAGTTACGTTTATCATAGTCAAGCTAGCATAACTGACCTATTTCCCTCTCCCTCGCTTTTTTTTTCCCCAATTAGAACTTTTTCCTGACCTGTGAAATGTGACACTCTTGGACCTCGTCATCTAGTTGCCATTATGGCGACAAATAGTAGTAAAGAACTGCATCTCTCTTTCTTTTACATCACACGTACATTTAAGATTTAGAGCTTCACATTGACAACCTGACAGCTAAAACCAATGCTAGCTATCGTCAATAAGCAGATTTTTTAACCTCCATCAGGGAGATGGAAGGCGGGCTCTTGCACGTGTCCCATCACGTTGCAACACATCTCTACATCTTTAAACATTGTTTTGACAATTACGTAGTTCAACCCAAAATTAGAGCTTCTGCAAAAATAGTTTATCCTGCTAATTATCATAGTTTTGTACTTTGGGTTCTGGGGGAAAGGAAATTTAGCAATACTAGTAGCTAAACACTTACAAGTTAATATTATTTTATAAGAAAAACTACGGAAGAACAAAACACCAGTGTCATCGCGTAAAACAATGAGCTTGTCACTCATTAATACCACATGATCAGAGTGAGTCTGAACTATAGGTTACATGAGAAGTCCTCCTGTGGTAACTTCGCCCAAGCTAAATGAGAGAGCACAAGCACACATCTGCAAGCATGTGAGCACGCCCACCAACAAGCAAGTGTGTGATGCTATTTACAGTCCTCTCTGAACTCAACTTTGTCTTAGTAATTTTAGATCCTTCCTGTTATCATGATAAACTGTTTTCCTCAAGAATCTGGAAGTGTTCTGCTCCAACAGCTGCGTTTGTGTGTGTATGTTTCTATGAAGTGAAGTTAATATAGAATGACAACTAACTGCTGCTAACTGTGTGTTAGAAAACAACAACAAAGAAACCATACTTGGTATTTAATTTTTTTGAAACTAAACACAAAGTTGCATTAAAATGTGCCACTGTAAAAACACAAAATCTTACTAAGTATTTTTGGCTTAATTTCTAGTGCAAATATGTAAGTACAATTGAAAAACCGAAACTATATAATATATGACATTATAATAGTTATATTGTGTTAACAACTGGTTGTTAATGCTGGTGGAAAAGACAAATATGACAGGAAGTGGTGGGAGGAAGATGGCGCAGCAGGTTTTTAATGACTTATATGATTTTAACTATTTCTTATTCAATGGGAACACCACATTTGCGAAATTGTGTTTTTTTTCTTGACATTAGCAGAACATAGACAAAGTTTGGTGCACATTTATAATGGAAATGGCTTCTCCTGCTTTCCCTAATCAGCGGCTAAACAAGTCGGATTGTGTTCACACGTCTCCAGTCAGCACAACAAACAGCTCATATCCTCAGTAGGCTGTTTTTTCTGGGAATCTGGGTATTCTAATGACCCAAGGAAGTTTTTCTACACTCCCCAGTTAGCATAGAGTTAAATATTTGTTAAAGTAAGAGACGTCTACAGTCCTGCTTATGCTGCAGAGCAGAAGTACAAATCTCATGGAGCCTGCAGGGAGTGAGCAGTCAGTGATAATAAGAAAACAAAATAAAGATCCACATGTGAACCAAATTAGCACGCGGTGTGGTCGCCCGGGGAAACATCGCCGGCCTTCCGTAAAAGATTTCTTCTCTGTCATCCATGACAGCTCCATTGCATGTTAATGAGGCCTACAGTTAGATAAACTGTGATAGGCTTCAGTCTGTCACTGTGGCCTCTAATCATTGTCCTGGTCCATTTTAGCATCCACACAATAAGGCAAATTTCCAGCAAACAAGAGAGTGACGTGGCAGTGAAGATTAAAACATATCTTTGATGAAGGATTAGGTCTGTTATTATCAGAGTTTATAATTGTGATTAGGAGAAGCTCAAGCTCAACTGGGGAGGTGTGAAGTTTGATGTGACAAAGGTACCGTTTCGCATTTCTTCCCTATAATCAGGAAATGTATAATTGTCATCTGCGAGAACAGTAAGTGGTTTCGGTGTTTAAAATGAGAAACTTGCTTTTGAACCCCTGAATGATGACCTACTATCAACAAAATTACCAACTTGTGCAGACAAACGATGGAAATCAAAACGAAGCAAGTGAAAGTCAATGTTGGGTTATCTTTAACCTCTGTGTTTGCAATTTGCGAGAGACTTCAGAGGCCACCTAAAAATAAAACTCAGCTTAACTCTAAGCTGCTGTTAGACCACCAAATCGTAGGATCTGGAAGAAGCAAAAAGGAGGTCTATATGTTGTGTTTGGGGTTTGGCTTCACACCATAACCACCACTGATCTTCCTCATCCATCCATCCATCCATTCATTTTCTGTACACCCTCGTCCCTAGAGAGGTCGGGAGGGGTGCTGGTCACTGAACTTCCTGTCTAATCCTTTTGGTCTTGATTTCACATGCAGCATTTAGATCAAAATTTGGAATAAGTGTTATGGAAGCATGAATCCAAAAAATTATTCCTTCACCAGAAAAGGAGGTTTTGGATTGATCAGTCAGACAAAACTCACAATTTATTCAATGATGGCTTTTTTTTGTTGTTGTTGTTGTTTTGACATTGCTGACATGAACCAATCTCTGTATGTCTGTATGTGTTCTCTGTACGTCCTCAAACATGACCATGAGGCTTGTGTCTCTGTTTAAGCCTTCTGCACAGACACAGAGCTTCTTCTTCTGTAATGTTAAATGCAGCGTTCAGTATGTTTGTTAGAGGGAAACAACTGAATTAGAGTCTGTTTTCTTTTGAAGTGTCTCACCGCACTACGCACATATAAAGCCCTTGCAAGCGGCAGACCTCACAATTACACAGCCGAGACGCCCACCACCGCCCAATAAATGACAACAGGACATAAATCTCGGGATGTCTAGAACAGGAGAAAATAGACAAGTCCAGAGAAATTGGTGTGATGCTGTCCTTGTGTGAAGGCAGACTAATCCCCGTCCACGATTATGTCCTCTTAAAAACTGAAACATCGTCACATCTGGGAGCTTAAGTTCTATAAACAAATGTCAATAAAAAAATACAGGCTTCTAAAAAAAACACCAGGAACCACAATTGAATATATTTTGTGTCTGGAACATTGTTTCAAAGCAAGGATCAAGCAAGACAGTAATTAATTTGCTACAAACTCTAGGATGTCACAGTCGAGGTCTGTAAATGGTTTCTTTCCGTAAATGAAGCTTGAACACAGCATTAGCCTGACAAGACAAGTTGGACACAACAGCCAATGCAGAATACAGGTCAACCCAAGGAACACAAAGTAGTGTGTCTAATTACAATTCCTAATACTTGTGCTTTATTGTTGCTAACTTGCTTCCAATAAAACAAGGCCTTGCAAAAGTGCAAAATACCCTTTGACCCTTTCTAAATTTTGTCACATAAGAACCACAAGCACTTTCTTAAGATTTTATGTGATAGAACAACAGAAAATGGTGCATGACATGATTTTTAAATGGTAGTGTGGGTTTATTTTCAGCCCAACTGTCAGTAAGGCAAACGAATGGTAAAGCCCAAGGACAAAGGCACAGAAATAAAAAAAAATGCTTAAATTTAGCACAAAATAGTTTACAAAAATTCATGAAAAAGCTAATTTTTCAAAAATCTGGAAAAAGGAAATGATGCCAACCAAGACAAACATGGCTTGTCTTACACATATAACACATAAAACAGTATAACACATAAAACAGACCTAGCAATTAAAGGCAAATGAGCGGTAACACTAAGAAACAACTATGACAAGCACATGGAGATAATTCAAAACAACGGATTATAACTACAACACAAATGTTAAAACTAAGGGTCTTTTCAACCCTAATTGTCCTCTTGGTACCAAATTTGCAACATTTGTTTCACTTCCAGCTGCTTTTGACCATTGTACTACAATGGTGAAAAGTAAACTTTAACTTTCTTAATCTAATTTCTTCCTTTGTGGTTTTGGCTGTATGCTCATGGTTTTTCTAGTAGAACAGGGGTATTTAACTCCAGTCCTCGAGGGTGAAGTGTCCTACAACTTTTAGATGTGCCCTTGGTAAACAGTCCTGAATCAAATGGCTTAATTACATCCTTAGTATTCAGTCATGTTCTCCATATTCCTACTAATGCCCTGATTATTTCACTCAGGTGTGTGGAAGCAGAGACACATCAAATAGTTGCAGGTTACCGGTCCTAGAGTACTAGAGTTGGAGACGCTTGTGCTAGAAGGTAAACTTCTGAACAAGTCTGAAG